CTCAGCCATAGTGATATCAGGTGGTGCACGATAGTGGTTGTAAAATGACGGTATTCTTTTGCAGACATGCTGAATGAAGTATTGACTTCTGAGATGGCTACACTTCCACCTGGCCACAGGGGACGAGGCATGGACAGCACTGTGAGAACACATCAGGAAGCAGGGAGTAGGAACAGGATGTGCCACGAGGTGCAAGGAACAACATGATTCTATTCCCAGGAGATGAGCAAGAGTATTGTGTTAACATACTAAGATGCGGGTCTCAGCACTGTGGAGAAACAGCATTTTCTAGTGGCCTACAAGCTTGTTTGGGCTTGGTCTGTTCACCCCAAAAGCCTCAGCGGAGGCTAAGAGCAGCACCTACCCAAGCAGCAAAGGGTGCTTAAGATGCAGCAGGCAAAGAAATATTTCTTGCAGCTCCTCTTTAAACTCCCCCCTTAACTCTAACGTGTTTGTTTGTTTATTTAAAGGGGGGAAAAAAAAGAATCAAATTTCTATACTTCTAGGCTGATGATTGAAACCAAATCTCCTGGCTTCAGAGCTCATCAAAGTATATATACGTGAAACTGGGAAAGAACTTCACTCCACTACTACCAAAGACATATCTGAGACCAAGTACATTTTGTAACATCAACAATCTGTCTCTTTCATGGGCTGTTCTACTATAGCAATAATTCTTGGATATAATCTCTCCACTTATTTACATTTAGAGGCCGTGAAATGATGAACTCAGCTTCTATCTACAGCTTTCCCTTTGCCAGTGCTGGTTGCGTAGGGCCCTCTTGCTGATGAGCATTCTTCTCTTCAACCCTACTGTTAAATCCTTACATTTAGCTACACCAGCGTCACCTCCACTGAAACTCTATGGGACGAGTTTGAGACTGGATGAACACACTCACTATCCTTCTTAAAATGCTAAGATGGACTTCACCCTGAAAGCCCACATGGGCATGGGTTTGCAAATATCAGTCAGAAAGATGTAATAGTACGTTGTACACCTCGCTAGTAGGACAGTTCGCTTTGCACTTACTTCCACATTCAAAGAGCAAAACAAAGCAGAAGGCTTTGCCCTTCCTCCAGGCTTGCAGGATGCTAACTCAGAGTGAGTGCTGAGGGGGGTGGATT